CCACATAAGCAAAAAGAAAAAAGCCGGAAGTGGCGCTGTGGCTCAAGTGGTAGAGCGCTAGCCTTGAGCTGAAGAGCTGAGGGACAGTGCTCAAGCCCAGAGTTCAGGCCCCATGACCCGAAAAGATAAAAATTTTTAAAAAATTTTAAAAAAAGAAATTACTTTTCCCTTTTAATATTGCAATACAACTTTCATATTTTTTTCCAAATATATGTGCACAAAAAGGGGGAGGGATCCCTCCACATGCCTCCCAATTTCTTTTAGAAGAAGAGAGGGGGAAAGACGGTCCCTCAGCTTCCCAGTTTTAAAAGCAGATCACAGGAACTTGAGATTCACAATGAAAAGCATTTCAAAGGCTCCAAAAGTCTCACAAAGTTAAAATTTAACAAGGGTTTATTTTAATAAAATAGAATAAAAGAGGAAAAATAGGATATCTGGGGAGATTTTGCTACATCTCATAGACAAGAAATGAAAAGTGAAGACAACAAATAGTAGCTCTTGTCTAGGGTTGTTTTTCTGGGTAATTTCATGTTGAGCTCCTATCTAGATACCTGGTCACCAACAATTACTTTAATTATTAGAAATAATAACTATTCTAACTATCAGAAACAATGGTTTCTGGGTGATTGATTATCCAAAACATGGCCAACATGGGTCCTACTATTTATAATTGAAAATGTTGTCTAGATATTATCTAACTTTAACTAAAACACAGAAATAATAGGTGTGGGTTAAAGGACTTTCATTTGCCAAACATACCTTGTAATTTTCTCTTTGCATTTCTCAACCTACAAGGAGGATAGATACCTTTAGGTCTCTGCTTGTAAATTAACATCTAAAAGGACAAGAATGTGGAAAGAGAGCTTGCAGCTGATATTTCAGTTTTTATTTCCTGGTTCTTCAATTTTTGAATTAATTTTTTTGTTTTGGTCAGTTGTGGGGCTTGAACTCTGGGCCTGAGCGCTATCCCTCACTCTTCAGCTCAAGGCTAGTGCTCTACCACTTGAGCTATAGTGCCACTTCCGGTTTTCTGGCAGTTTATTGGAGATAAGAGTTTCTCGGACTTTCCTGCCCTGGCTGGCTTTGAACCTCGATTCTCAGATCTCAACTCCTGAGTAGCTAGGATTACAGGCATGAGCCACCGGAGCACAGCTTGAATTAATATTTATTATTAAGTAATTAATATTTATTTTTAATTTCCCTGTCAACTCATAAAAGTGCATGTTTAGGTAAATTTAGTTTATGTTTGTAATTATTAAATAATCTGTATAAAACAATTTTCTTCCTCAAAAAAAATATATATATACTCTCAGCCTGTAATCCTACTCAGGAGGCTGAGATCTGAGAATCGCAGTTCAAAGCCAGCCCAGGCAAGAAAATCCATGAGACTCATAACCAATTAACCACCAGAAAAACCGAAGTGATGCTGTGCTCAAGTGATAGAGCATTAGCCTTGAGCTGAAGAGCTGAGGAACAGCATCCAGGCCCACAGTTCAAGCCCCACGACTGACCAAAAATATTTTTTTTCTTTTTCCTATTAAAACGGCTTCTAGATATCTTCCTAATTTTGACATGTTGGAATACAAAATAACTTCAACTACTTTTTTGGAGGAGAGTACTCGTGACTGAGCTTAAGGCCTCTCACATGCTCCAGTGAGTTCAACCACTTGGGTCACACAGACACTACTTTTTTAAATAATTTTATATTTAAATCCCTTTTTAATATAATTGTTATCATTAAGGTGTTATACAGAGGGATTACCATTTATTAAGTAATGAGTAATTCTAGGGAATAAAGACAACATGGGAGGGATATCCATGCCGAACTTCAAACTCTACTACAGAGCTATAATAACAAAGATAGCATGGTACTGGCACAAAAACAGACCTGAAGACCAATGGAACAGAATAGAAGATCCAGAAATAAATCCACAGGCCTACAGCCAGCTGATATTCGACAAAGGAGTCAAAGACATACAATGGAAGAAACACAGCCTCTTCAACCGCTGGTGCTGGGAAAACTGGGTAGCCACATGCAGAAAACTAAAAGTGGACCAGCCTATCACCATGCACCAACATCAACTCAAAATGGATTAAAGACCTTAACATTAAACCTGAATCTCTGAAACTACTGCAGGACAGAGTAGGAGAGACACTTGAACTAATAGGCACAGGAAGGAACTTCCTGAACAGAGTCCCAGGGTCACAACAAATTGCAGAGAGACTCGACAAATGGGACTACCTTAAAATAAAAAGCTTCTGCACAGCTAAATCTATCGCAACTAAGCTAGAAAGACAACCAACTAATTGGGAAAAAATATTTACCAGCAATATATCAGACAAGGGGTTAACATCCTGTATATACAGGGAACTCAAGAAACTAATCCCTCCCAAACCTAACAAACCAATTACTAAATGGGCAAGGGAACTAAAGAGGGACTTCTCAAATGAAGAAATAAAAATGGCAAAGAAACACATGAGGAAATGTTCATCATCCCTGGTGGTGAAGGAAATGCAAATAAAGACAACCCTGAGATACCACCTTACCCCAGTCAGAATGTCCCACATCCACAAATCAGCCAACGACAAATGCTGGAGGGGATGTGGAGAAAGAGGAACCCTATTACACTGCTGGTGGGAATGTACACTTATACAACCACTTTGGAAAGCAGTCTGGAGGGTCCTTAGAAAGCTAAAGATTGACCTCCCTTACGACCCAGTCATACCACTTCTAGGCATCTACCCTGAACAACAGGAACCAATATACAAGGACACATGCACCTCCATGTTTATTGCAGCACTGTTCACAATAGCTAGGATATGGAAACAACCCAGATGCCCCACCACAGATGAATGGATCCAAAAATTGTGGTATCTATACACAATGGAATATTATGCAGCCATTAGAAATGACAAAATAATGGCATTTGCAGGGAAATGGATGGAGCTAGAAGGAATCATGTTGAGCGAGGTAAGCCAAGAGCAAAGAGACAAATAGTACATGGTCTCCCTGATAAGTGGATGCTAAATCCAAAATGTTAGGTGATACGACAAAATTAACAGGACTTAAGAAACAAAGAACTCCCACTCATCTGGTTGAACCACTACTAAATATCCCCATGCTGCTGATCACATGTATGGTGTATAATGTGTACACTGTTATAATTATAGACTGTGATAGACAATTTGCTCCAGGAAAGTTAGAATGAACTTGTGACTTTAAATGAGCATTATTATTCCACAATACTGTGAAATTCCGGAAATTATGTAATCACTTAATCACAATCAAAAAAAAAAAGAACCTTGGGGAAGGTAGGGAGGGAAGGGATGGTAGGGGGAAAACAATGGAGGAGGTAACAATGCTCAATAGGAAGTGTACTCATTACCTTGCTCATGTAATTATAACCCTCTGTATAGTATCTTTACAATAAAAAATTAAAAAAAAAAAGTAATGAGTACATTTCTGGATTTGGACAGTGTCACTCCTCCCTTTGCTTTCCCAGTTTCCCCCTCCCATTCCTGCCCACAATTACATAGGTCATTTTCCACATAGTGTATACTGAATAGCGTATTTTAAATAGTTTTTTTAAGCAGAATGCAAGCACAACAATGAGTCGCAAATAACATCTGGCCTTTCCTGAAGAGAGTAGGGAAGGACTGCTAGGAGAAGCCAGGACTGCCAAATCAGAAAACTTGTGTCTAACTGCCCATCAACTCCAGGCAATTATTACCAGACAGACCATATAAATT